AACAAGGCAGAAGGAAAGGGTGTGTCTTGATGAACAAGTCACGTTCACTTTTCACAGACTGGCGGGGCTCATTCATTGTTGTTATGAGACCCTTTGATGTCCATCAACCAGTCATTTCAGCCATGATGAGAGATGGTGGCTTGGGCATAGAGCCAGTTACCAACTGAAACCCACGAGCCACACATATCAGAATGGCCTGCATATGCAAGTGTAAATATCAAAGATTATGATTTAGAAAATGCTATTGTTCAACATTGTGATTCAGTAACCCATGTCACTTCACTGTGAATTATCCAGCAAGCTAACAGTAGGCCTTGATCTCTCTTCTACCCATCTTGGAGCTGGAAGGAGGTGGTGAAGCTAGGTTCAAATGGCAGCACAGCTCAGATATACATGTGCTTGGATACCCCTGGGAAAGACTCTCACTCTAGATTAAATTTCCCCTTTACATCTATCATAGAACTGGAGGGTTGGGACCATGAGTGTCATCTAGTCCAGCCCCCTGCAATGCAGGAATCTATTTGCCCAATGCGGGGCTTAAACCCACAACCCTGAGATTAAGATGATTAGTGTGGAAATAAATGAGGATTATGATTTCACATTAAGGCTGTATAAAACAATAAGATGAATTGTCAAGAAACAGAATGTTCTTGACTTGTGTAACAAAGGCAATGAGACAGATTAACAACGTGTTAGCGCTTGCAATATACATAACTGCAGGAAGAGAAGGTGCCGGACAGAAAATATTTTCTGAGCAGAAGAGCACAAAAATAGTAGGAGACAGTGGAAGCATTCATTCAGAAAACATTTTTGATCCCCCAGTCAGAACCCAGGAAAATTCAAATTGGAGCATTTTAATTTTTTTCCTGGTTCTAAGAAATCTTTGCTCAAGTCACTCAAAGTCAGCCATGGAAATTTTCTCCTATGGAGATGGAACACTTTGATCCTAGTTATTTGTTGCCATGGTGTAGGTGAGTGAGAAAATAGGGAAAGTAATCAAAGATTGCAGAGAGCAGGGGGCGGAAGAAAGAAATCAAGGAGTGGCATAAGCAGATCTGTCCCCATTCCCTTAGAAAGACTTTTCAGCTTTGGGAATCTAACACAGCTAAATTATCCAATTCCTTGTGAAACTGTGAGTTTGCTAGGAAGACTTCAACTAGTTTTAAGTTTAGATTAGCATAGGAATTTTAGATGGAATAATTGCAAATAACATTGCCTCACTAGTTCAAAGTTAAAGGTTTAAATTTCTTTGCAAATCAGAACAGAACAAATCTCTCCCCAGTTTTGGGGAAGGTAAGGTTTTGAAACATAGTGCTGTAACCAAAGATGTTGCTCAGTTGTTGCTAAGGTTTCCTTCATCAAGATGGGGAGGGAAGCAATTTATAGGAACTTCCCTCCCACTGCAGCCCCCCGTATCTGCTGTACTGTCCCTAAACTTCCAAGCAGCTTTTTTTTGGGGGGGGGGGAGGCCTGCAAGGTGAGGGAGAGGCATCGCTTATAATTGTTTCCCTCCCATCCCACTGACACAAAGTTACTGCCAGCTGAGTGCTACCGCTGGATACAACCTGTAAGCACCTGCAAGACCTGCTTTGTGGCACCCATCTGAAAGCAACCATCATTTAAGCAGCATGTCTGACACAGACTCTTCTTTGCTTCTCTTTATTGGTAATTCACACCGCTTGCAAATGCACCAACAACATACTGCCATTTTAGAAGAGTAATTCACACACAAAAATATTTACACAACAGAATAATGCACAGGAAGTGCATTATTTTCCATCCTAGACTTTTGCATGATTACTCATTATTAGTAAACTGAAGAGCCCTAATAATCCAAGAGCTTTTTCCTTTCTTCTGCTTCATATTAATCCTTGGTTCTTGTAAACACAAGCGCGCGCGCGCACACACACACACACACACACACACACACAGAGCAGGAAATGAATAACTGACTTTGTAAGCAGCCTCTGAGAAGAGAAAACAGAAAAAGGCAGATAAGTGGCACAAAGAAAAGTCAGAAGAGTGCAATTATTTACTTTGTGACCCTTTACCAGCAACAGTGTGGAACACAAAACTCCTTTCTTCTGTCCCAATTACTTCACCCCACTGCTTCTTTCTGTACCACAGTAATTAGAGCTAGAGGGTTGCATAGTCAATACCGAGAGAGCAAGTAATTCAAGTTATACAGAGCTCTAAAATATGCATGGCCTCCCTCGTGTTTCCTATTTAGGGCTAACCATAGCTTGCTATGACATTAGCTGTGACCTTCAAAGCAGAATCAGTTACCCATAGTATCTGATTACAACCACAGTTTGCAGATTTCAAATGTCACAGTAAACTGAGGTTAGCATTAAAAAGGAAATGGAGAGAAAAGCCTCTCAAGAGAGGAAGTCGACAGATGGTTTGAACCTGAGCCTCTGATCACAGCAGGATAGTTCAAACAGTTCATATATAAAATTACATAAAATTATGTAAGTTACAAGGCAAATTTTAAAAATAGCTTGCTTTCCAACATGTAAACACATCTGAATTTAAGATGTGAAGTTTACCTGGGCTAATCAGAAAAAAGGCAGTTAGTGGAACCATTAGAACAAATGGAGTAACACATACAGAACAAATTAACTTGGCATGTCCAAAAATAAATGCTGGTAGATTAGATTTAGTTAGCCTTTTCTCACTTAAAGCAGACAAACATGTTACCATAAGTTTCTATGCTTCATGCCATGGTACAGTGTACTTTTAAAAAATACCATTATTTTGCAGTATTTAGCATATATATCATGCATTTTAAAACTTGTCTGAAATAAAGCTATTTAGTACCTAAGAAACTAAGGCAGTCCTATGTATAGTTCCTTTGGAATAGCCCTGACTGAATTCAATGGAAGTTCTGCCAAAACATCACCATCATTATATTTATTTCTATCTGGCCTTTTTCCTGACAAGACTCAAGATCAGTTACAACTAAAACAGAAACAGCTAAAAACTTTTTTTTAACGCAAATTTAATTTTTTTAAAAATCAGGCATAGGATTGCACTGTAACTCATTATTTTAGACACGGGAGGAAAAAATAAGTTTAAAAGAAGTGCATATATTCCCTTCTTTGGTGAAAACCAGCTTCTACAGGTAACATAGCAAGTAGAAGGGGGGCCCAAAAAGCAAATGTGACTCTTAATTTGGCACCGTAACATGGATTACACCCAATGCTTTTCTGTTCCCTCTTTTGAAGTTTCTCGCAGATTTGGTCCCCTTCAGCCTTCATTAGTAACTGTATCTATAGTGAAGAAAGAAAACAAAAACCAGCATGGCAGTGAAGATCGCCTGCAGAGTAGACAATGTCCAGGGAAGTCCCAGGAATAGAATCTGCAAAGCTGTTTGTGCCTCCCCTGATGACAAGCTGTAGAATAATAACCATGCAAAACAAATATATGTTTACTTAATTTGCAAAACTAGAGAATTCAGGTTACCTTCGTGTCTCAGGCCCAGGTTTTTGGGCCACAAGTACACGCAGCCCAGGCTACCATTCTGCCACTGCACAGACCAGAAAGGGAGAGACCAAGGTCCCACGGACTCCGCCGCAGCGCAGCAAGAGACCTGCCCTTGTCTATTTATCCTATCTATAAAACATTCCTTTCCCTCATCCAAAGCCTGCCAAAGAAAAACAATGAAATCTAAGGAATATACAAGCAAGCAAGAATTACCAACAAAAGAAGAATGACAGACAAAATTGATGGACTATGCAGAATCACATAAATTAACAGGAAGGATTCGAAACCTGTGGGACCAGAGTTTCTTAGAAGACTGGAGTAAACATATGAACTATTTGAAAAGTAATGGTAATGAGGGACGCGGGTGGCGCTGTGGGTTAAAGCCTCAGTGCCTAGGACTTGCCGATCGAAAGGTCGGCGGTTCGAACCCCCGCGGCGGGGTGCGCTCCTGTCGCTCGGTCCCAGCGCCTGCCAACCTAGCAGTTCGAAAGCACCCCTGGGTGCAAGTAGATAAATAGGGACCGCTTACTAGCGGGAAGGTAAACGGCGTTCCGTGTGCTGTGCTGGCTCGCCAGATGCAGCTTGTCATGCTGGCCACGTGATCCGGAAGTGTCTGCGGACAGCGCTGGCCCCGGCCTATAGAGTGAGATGGGCGCACAACCCTAGAGTCTGTCAAGACTGGCCCGTACGGGCAGGGGTACCTTTACCTTTACCTTTAATGGTAATGAACAGATCACGCTAGTAGGATTGTAAGAAGTTTTGTAAGGAGGACTATTTGAAATATTGCAAGAAAGACTATGAGAAGAATTGTTAGTTAATGATAATTAAGAGTAATAGAGAAATTAAGAAATGCAGAATAAGTGATAAAGAACGAAAAATCATCAGAGGCGTTGACAGAAGTCTAAAATATTGTATAAGATAAGAAGTTATGTTATATGATTGTTGGAAATGGTATGTTAAAAAAACCAATAAAAATGTAAAAAAAGATGGAGGAATATACAAGCTACCATCACAAAAGCACAAAAAAGTAGCAAGAAGAAAAGCAGAAATATTGGGGGGGGGGGGGAAGGTAAGATTGTTATCCATAACATGGGGCTGAAATATCACATTGAGATCTTACCTGGGCTTTGAATGGTAAATTGTTGTGTATTCTACTACTTTCTGTTAAGGTAAATGAGAGAAAGGTTTGATGCTCATTGCTGCATCACATTTCAAAACTCTCCAGAAATTTAAAAGGTGTAGTTAGATATTCACTGTTTAACTTTAAAAACAAAACGGGAGGTGCTCTTCTGTCACCGTTCGTCAATACTTAATATTATGACAAGCTACCATATAAATTACAATACTATTTTGGAAAGCAACCACCATGAAATTGGATCCCCTCTGCTATTCACTGATGATAACCCACCAAAGGAATAGAACATAAGCAATGGAGCAGCTAAACTCCCATTTCCCTTAGAAAATGACTCATTATTACCACATACTGATGGTAAGACAAGAAACACAAATTCAGATGATGAGGTATGTAAAAAAATATATTTAGATGACTGCATAAAGGAAAAAAACCTTTGTTTAGCAAACAAAATTAGTATCACTTCAAAAACAAGTAGTATAATACAATTTACACCCAATAAACTTGGAAGAATTAAAAGCTTCTAATTTCCAACCATTTCCGTCAAAGAAATAGTTTAAAATATTTTGTTTTCTTCCCCCTCTTCTCTTCCGCGAAAACACACACCCCACTGCAGTACAGTTAGTCTGTTAGTGATCATTCAGTCTCTGTCGTATGTTTCTAGATTTTCCATTTTCAAATTTTCGCTTTTTGAAAACTGGTATTCCCTCTGTTGTGTCTCCAAGAGAAGTGACAGTTTTTTCTTTAAATATCACTTTGGCATCTTCTGGGGCTTCCAGAACTGGGGCTTGCAGAGAGTCACTTTCCATGTTGGGAAGCTCCAAGTCTACTTTTTCACTAAGATAAAACAAAACAAAACATAAAGAAGCATTAAACAAATGCAAGTTCCACTAATATATCAAACCAAAATCACGTGACATCGGTAAGGGAATTCAAACACAAAAGCTGACAACAAAAACTCATCAAGCAAAAATACTGCTCAACCTTGAATCAAATAGGCAACATAAAAGAACAATTTAATCAACTAAATATTAAGTTAATAAAATAAATAAAGTACCCCCTGCATAGTTTCCCAGCCCTTGGCAGACTCTAGGTTGTGAACATATAGCGTTACATATTAAATTCCGGAACAAGGCAGCCAGTGTCTGCTGAATATCAGGTAATTATATTGTTGACATCTGATGGGAGGGCGTTCCACAGGGCGGGCGCCACTACCGAGAAGGCCCTCTGCCTGGTTCCCTGTAGCCTCACTTCTCGCAATGAGGGAACCGCCAGAAGGCCCTCGGCGCTGGACTCAGTGTCCGGGCTGAATGATGGGGGTGGAGACGCTCCTTCAGGTATACTGGACCGAGGCCGTTTAGGGCTTTAAAGGTCAGCACCAACACTTTGAATTGTGCTCGGAAACGTACTGGGAGCCAATGCAGGTCTCTCAGACCGGTGTTATATGGTCCGGCGGCCACTCCCAGTCACCAGTCTAGCTGCCGCATTCTGGATTAATTGCAGTTTCCGGTCACCTTCAAAGGTAGCCCCACGTAGAGCGCATTGCAGTAGTCCAAGCGGGAGATAACTAGAGCATGCACCACTCTGGCGAGACAGTCCGCGGGCAGGTAGGGTCTCAGCCTGCGTACCAGGTGGAGCTGGTAGACAGCTGCCCTGGACACAGATTCCTGCGCCTCCATGGACAGCTGTGAGTCCAAAATGACTCCCAGGCTGCACCTGGTCCTTCAGGGGCACAGTTACCCCATTCAGGACCAGGGAATCCCCACACCCCCGCTCCCTGTCCCCCAAAAACAGTACTTCTGTCTTGTCAGGATTCAACCTCAATCTGTTAGCCGCCATCCATCCTCCAACCGCCTCCAGGCACTCACACAGGACCTTCACCGCCTTCACTGGTTCTGATTTAAAGGAGGTAGAGCTGGGTGTCATCTGCATACTGATGAACACCCAGCCAAACCCCTGATGATCTCTCCCAGCGGCTTCATATAGATATTAAAAAGCATGGGGGAGAGGACGGAACCCTGAGGCACCCCACAAGTGAGAGCCCAGGGGTCTGAACACTCATCCCCCCCACCACTTTCTGGACACGGCCCAGGAGGAAGGAGCGGAACCACCGTATACAGTGCCCCCAGCTCCCAGCCCCTCTAGACGGTCCAGAAGGATGTTATGGTCGATGGTGTCAAAGGCCGCTGAGAGATCCAGCAGAACTAGGAAACAGCTCTCACCTTTGTCCCTAGCCCGCCGGAGATCATCAACCAGCGCGACCAAGGCAGTTTCAGTCCCATGGTGAGACCTGAATCCCGATTGGAAGGGATCCAAATGGTCCGTTTCCTCCAGGCGTGCTTGGAGTTGTTCAGCAACCACCCGCTCAATCACCTTGCCCAGAATGGCAGATTTGAGACTGGGCGATAGTTGGCCAAATTGGCCGGGTCTAAAGATGTTTTTTTAAGAAGCGGTTTAATGACCGCCTCTTTCAGCGGGTCTGGGAAGGCTCCCTCACAGAGGGAAGCATTCACCAAGAAGCCTGGAGAGCGAGAGGGGTCGGTGCGCACCAACCCCTCTCGCTCTCCAGGCTTCGCGCAGCTCTCCGCAAAGCGCGGGAGCCTGGCGCTGGGCTCCCACAGCTTGCGGAGAGTTGCCTGCATGCTGAAGCCTGGGCGTGCTGAGCTCAGCGCTCCCAGACTTCGTGCAACTCTCCGGCTTGCGGAGAGTTGCCTGCATGTGCCGGGGGGGGGGGAATAAATTCCCCCCCTTTATCCCCCCCAAAAAAAACTAGGTGCGCCTTATGGGACGGTGCATCCTAAAGGGCAAAATACGGTAAGTTTATGGGAGCAAGCAAGGTTGGGGACAGGTTTCAAGGGACACTCCCCAGGTGTGCCCTTGGGCAGGCAGGCAGCATGGGAGGGCTGGGTGGATTATTATTATTATTATTTATACCCCACCCATCTGGCTGGTTTTCCCCAGTGACTCTGGGCGGCTCTCAACAGAATATTAAAAACACGATAAAACATCAAACATTAAAAACTTCCCTAAACAACAGACTGGTTGCAATATCACCAATTAAACGATGTGTTTCAAATGGATAAGAAAAATGGATTTAGTAAGGAAATTTCAAGGTCTGAAAAGGATTTATTGGAAAACATTATGAAGTTACCTTCCAAAATGTGTAAGTTGTTAGAGTAGCATACTATGGATGAAGAAGTTAAATCAGTAATGATACAAGGGGCATGTCAGGGACCTGCCATCAGTGCCAGAGGGATTCCAGAGAGCGTCCCGGGAGTGGGAGAGGCAGCCCATCTTCTGGGGAAGAGAATCAGCGTAGCACCAGTGGAGAAGGGGGGCAGATGGGGGAAGCGGTGAGACAGTCCCATGACTCCTTGCCGGGGACCAGCGGGGAGAGGAAGGGTCCTCCGCTGCCTACGCCCTCCTTGTGCAGAAGGCTTTCGCACAGAGAGAGTAGGAGGAGACTAGGCGTAAAAGAGCTTCTTTGCTGGAAGAAGTTTAAGAAACGCCCACTGACAGATTCTGCCAGCGACTGAGACAGCCATGGGAGAGTGGCTGTCCGGACAGAAAAGGTTCACTCAGGCAACCCAGCCAGGTGTTATGCACGAGCAACCCCTAGAACCATTACAGGGCACAATATCCAATTTTCATTTTGGGAAAAGTTAAAATTTACAGCATGCTGTGCACTGAAGGAGAACTATATGAAAATGATGTGTCAGTGGTATTTAACACCTATAAAATTAGCAAAGATGTATAGAATTGCTTCAAATGTATGTTGCAAATGTTAGGAGAAGGAAGGCATGGTCTACCACATGTGGTGCACGTGCAAGATAACAAACGCATTCTAGGAAATGATCTATAGTGAGTTGAAAAAAATGTTTAAAAGAATGTTTGTGGAAAAAATCAGAGGCTTTTTTATTAGGAATTTTAGGTGCAGAGATACCAAAGTAGCAGAAACGATTATTCATGTATGTGATGACAGCAGCGAGGATACTACTGGCCCGGAGATGGAAAGAAGATAAAGTCCTGACCAGAGACGAATGGCTGATGAAGATGATGCAAAAAATGGCAAAAATGACTGGGAAGATCAGAAACCAGGAAGAGAAGAACTTTAAGAAGGAATAGGAAAATTTTACACTGTACTTAAAAGAACACTGTAAACAACTAAAAACTTTGGCAGGATTTGAGTGATGCTTGTAATGTACTAAAAATAAATGTAAAAATGGATTATTTAAGAAAAACAGAAAATAAGTAAAGCAGTTGAAAAAGATTGAAATTGGTAACCATGGAAGGGAGATGGGCAGTCAAAGGATTCAGGGGGATCCTAATGATCCTAAATGATGATGATGATGTTGATGTTTAATGTTTGAATTTAAATCTGCAATGTAAAACTCAATCAAAAAGATTTATATATATTAAAAAACTTCCCTAAAGAGAGCTGCCTTCAGATATCTTCTAAAAGAATTGTGCTTGGAAACGTACTGGGAGCCAATGTAGATCTTTCAAGACTGGTTTGGTTTTTTTAAATGTATTTTTATTAAATGTAAATTTATTTTTAAATGTATTTTTATTAAAGATTTTCTTGGTTTACAAAAGTATGTGCAATGTCTCTCTCTCTTTTCTCCCCAAGTAACATTTTTTTACAGATCAGTTTCATTTGTTGAGACATTAGGAAGAAAAGGGGGAAAGAGGTGGAGGGGGGAAAGGTGAGTGGGAGTGGGGTTTGGTGGGGTGCCAATGTTTCTATTTTACTTAATATATGTGGGGTTTTGTGCCAGCATCGCTTGTGCAGGTTCTCTGCTATTCACTTCTGTTCCTTTGGTGGTGAGAGAGGTTGGGGTTGACGTAGGGTGTGGTTGTTTGTTTGTGATTGGCTGTGGTGATCTTTGTTTTCATGTGTGAGTGGGGTGGGTGGGTGTTTTGGATCAAGTTAGCCATATTGATTTGTACGCTGTTGGTGGATTTTTGTCGTCATCTTGTTGGGCTGTGTATGTGATAAAGGGGAGCCATACCGGGGTGAAGGCATCTTCTTCTATTTGTCCCTGTGTCAGTTTCAGTTTATTGGTAATTTTTTCTAGTAAGGCTGTTTCCCATACTATTTGGTGCCATTGGTCCATGCTTACTCCTGACAGGTCTCTCCAGTATCTGGTTATGATGTTTCTGGTTGCTGAAAGTAGGTGGGTTATGAGTTCTTTGTGGTGTAAATGGGCATTATTGTCTTCGAAGATGTTTAGTAGGGCCAGTTCTGGGGTGATTTCTAATACTTGCTTAGTTATTTTACATATTTCTCGTACGGCTGTTGTCCAGAATAGTTGGGTTTTGGGGCACTCCCACCACATGTGGAGGTATGTGCCTTTGGAGGTGCACCCTCTCCAGCATTTTGGTGAGGTTCCTGGGCATATTAGCGCTAGTTTTCTTGGTGTTAGGTACCACCTGTAGGTGAGTTTCAGAGTAAGTTCTTTCCTTTTCATTGATATGGATTTAAAGGATTGTTTAGACCACATTCTGGTCCATTGAGTGGGGTTAATCTCATAGCCTATGTCATCCTCCCATTGTTTTTTTATTGTGTCCAGGGGGTTCGTGGGTTTTTGGAGTAGCATTTTGCATATTGCGGATACCATCACTTTACCGTGTCCCTTTGTTGTTAGGAGGAGGTTTTCGAAGGTTGTCAGGGGCCTAGTTGCTACTGATTTTACTGCTGGATTGTTTAAGAGAGCATGTAATTGGTGTTGTGCTAACCAGGGTCTAAGGCATGTCCGTGACTATGGGTTGGGCCAAACTTATTCAGGGACAGCCCCATGGAGGCCATGCTTTCTTGTAAGGTTGTTTTGGCATGGACGTTAAAATCCCCTAGGACAATCAAAGTAGGTGTCTCCAGGAGAACATCCGCCATGACCTGAAGCAGCTCAGGCAGCGAATCCTTGGTGCAGCGGGGAGGTCGGTACACCAAAAGGAATCCTGTACTGCCCCTATTGCCCAACTTCCAGAACATGCAATCAGAAAACTGGGTCTTCCCAATAGGATGCCTGGTGCAGGCTAATGACTGCACCCCACCCATATGTCCTGGGTTGTTGTGTGTTAAGAGAAATCTGGTAGGCAAGCAGTGGCAAGAACAGGCCCATCTGCTTCATCCAACCAAGTCTCTGTTAAAGGGTACCCCTGCCCGTACGGGCCAGTCTTGACAGACTCTAGGGTTGTGCGCTCATCTCACTCAAGAGGCCGGGGGCCAGCGCTGTCCGGAGACACTTCTGGGTCACGTGGCCAGCGTGACATCGCTGCTCTGGCGAGCCAGAGCCGCACACGGAAACACAGTTTACCTTCCCGCTAGTAAGCGGTCCCTATTTATCTACTTGCACCCGGAGGTGCTTTCGAACTGCTAGGTTGGCAGGCGCTGGGACCGAGCAACGGGAGCGCACCCCGCCGCGGGGATTCGAACCGCCGACCTTTCGATCGGCAAGCCCTAGGCGCTGAGGCTTTTACCCACAGCGCCACCCGCGTCCCAAGTCTCTGTTACACGTTATCAAAACATTGTCAGAAACTGGTTTGAAGTTCAGATCGCAATAACAGGAATTCAGAGGAATTTAACGCTCTCCCAAGAAATGGTATACAATCAATGGTCTCCACGCTGCATCTGGGACTTACTATGGATCTTTATCTTCTGTGATTTCTTCCCATTCCCCGTAAGGTTTGACTCTTTGAGATGCTGCCTGAGAGGTTTCCTGCCGAACGGCTGGTACATCCTCTATATCACTGCTTTCCTGCTTCACTTCTTGCCATTCCCCATAAGGGCTGATCTTTTTGCGTCTGTGAGGCTTTTCCTCTACTTCGTCATCACTTTCTGTTTTCCTCTAAAAGCAAAAAAAAGCCAACAGCAAACTACTGAGCAATACAACACCAACAACTTCCTTTAACCAAGAGAGAGTCCACACACACCAAACACTGGTTATACAGAAATTCACTTATCCAAACATGAGGAATTAACACCCAAACTGTGCGTTACACACCACAGATTCATATATCCAAACAGCCGGACCTGCATGTAGTGCTGTAACTGAACAAGCAGCCTTCAACAAGGCTTACTTTTTGTGTTTTGCTGGTCTGTGACAGCCATTTTGCCAGAAACCATGTGGGTGGGGGCGGGGATATCTGACAAACTAGAGAGCATGTTTTCCTTCCCTGTTTTCCTTTTGCAAGGTTTCAGAGGATTTTCCTGGTTTTTTCCATCACTTTGGGGTCAAAATTTGGTGGTCAGGAATGCATTCGAAATTTCCTCATATGACTCAACAGAAAAGACTGACTCGTTACACAAACACTCACCTATTTCCTGACAACGCATGGTGTTTTGATAGTGAGACCAACGTATACAACATCAACCTCAACACAATTTATATAAAAGCAGCCTAAACAAGTTCTATAATAAATAAATCAGCAATCCAAGTGCAACATAGTGAGCAAGATGTCTTTATGGGTCCTTCATCCCTGGTATCTCCTCCTTATTTCCTAAATACCCCGCTTCCTCCAGCCCTACTCCCACTCAAAACCCTCTAAGCATCCCCCATTGTCATAAGGCTGTGACCCAGAGACAGGGGGTCCTATCCCTTCTTTTCAACCAGTCTCTCACCCTTGGGGAAGATTGCCTTTGGCTTCCTCTCTAACCACAATCCACATCCCAAAACCACCTGAAAGAAGAGCCCTGTCCCCATAACTGCCTCATCCAAAGGGCTTTTATCTCCCTTGTCCATATAGTGACGTTTGGCAACTGGCATGCCAGAAACTGCTGCCATGGGCAGGGAGACTGTTCATTACCCTCCCCACCCCGGCTCTGTGGCCTGGTCTCCTCAGTGGCAAGCATTTCTGCTGGATGGCAATGAACTTTTTATTCGAACTTCAATAATTAATATGACTTGATAAAAGATGTGGGTTTATTCTGAAAATGATTTACCCGGAGATTTCTTTTTGGCTTTTGCAGTTCGCTTTTCCTGCCTGCTTTCCCTGCATCTGATTTAGCTTTCTTTGACTCCATTTCTCGGCTGTCTTCAGGATGGTTTTCTTTTTGACTCTCTTTTGAAGGAGACACAAAATTATCAGGTTTCTCCCAGGTTGATACTGGAAAACACAGACAGCAATGTATTTTAAACAATAGTTTGTATTAAAAGAATCTATATCCAGCCTATTTTCAAAATAAACTCAAGGTGGCTAACAAATCAAAACATCACACAATGTTAAATTCCCATTCTTAACCCCACTCAAACAAACAACTGTTACTTGCGTTTCACAATGTTAATGCAACACATCAGTTGTACACTCAACATACAGAAACAAATATGGGTCTGAGGTAGATGATGCAATTTGGTGTCATCAGGAAACTAGATATAAATCTGAAAATTACTGATTTTGAATTCTGGCAGCTACTCCCAGCCTAGTGCCAAAATGACAACAAAGTAGGCAACCTGGCAAACCTCACTGGGGAGAGCTTTCCACAATTGGTGTGCCAGTACTGAGAAGAACTACAGTGGTACCTCTAGTTACGAACTTAATTTGTTCCAGAGGTCCGTTCTTAGCCTGAAACTGTTCTTAACTAGAGGCATGCTTTTGCTAATGGGGCATCTTGCTGCCGCCGCGCCGCCAGCACACAATTTCCGTTCTCATCCTGGGGCAAAGTTCTCAACTCGAGGTAACTCTTCCAGGTTAGTGGAGTTTTTAACCTGAAGCGTTTGTAACCTGAGGCGTTTGTAACTCAAGGTACCACTGTACCTAGTTCATCATCCACTGCACTTCAGACATGATTGGCTCAAATAGTCATGACATTAAGAGGGCAGACTCAGTCCGTTTCACCTTATGAACGGTGCTGCAGCTTCTCTATGGCCCACAAGTTCCTACAGAAAGGACCTGAGGGCCTTATCAGGGTAACAACTCCACCCCACTCCCCACCCTCTGGGATTTAGTTCTCCATTTGTGCTACTGACTTCACAGAAGTGTAGGGCTGTCTCACACTGGCAAAACTCTGCATGGGCAGAAACCCAAGTTCAATCCCAGCATTTCCAAGGAATTTTGGGAAAGACTTATATCAAAAATCTGGGAAAGCTGCTGCCGGTCTGTGTAGGCAACACTGAGCTAGGTGGACCAATGGTCTAACTCTGGATAAGGCACCTTCCTATGTTTTATCTCTTTTTTATCTTCCTTACCTCCTGTTTCTGTGTTGTAGTAATAGGTGCGACCATCTTCACTTGTTCCTTCCATCCACTGTGCTGTCTAACAGAGAAAAATAAACCACCTAGTAAAAGATTAATCCAAGTCTCACTGATGTACCATATGGATATAGGCAAGGAAGGTCAGGCTCCACTTATGAAAATATTGCAATTATATCATTAAAATTATATCATTAAAATCATCTGGGGGACATTCCATACACTCTAACAAAATTTGGACAGAGACAGAATGGCTCTTAGATAGCCAAGTTACCTGAAATACATCTTTGCACCTTTTCTTTGAAGCCTTTGACTTAATAAACTTTTTTGTTTCCATTCACAAGTGAAACAAGTCCTCTGTTACCTTGGAAACCCCATTTCCCCACACCCTCGTCTCCCCAAACTGTCAGCTTTTAGAAAGCAATATTCTTAGGACAGGGATCTGTTCTTTTTCTTTATAATTCTTGATTGTACTGTATAAATAATAAGGGTCACCTGAGAACTAAGCAAAATGAATGATGTTGTATAACACCTTGGAAACTGCATTAAAAAAAGAAATTGAACAATGGTAGGTATAAGGAGTATCACTTAGAAAATCTGATTTTCCTCCCCACCAATTATATATGGCGGGAGTTGAGTCCTGGGAAAAGATACCAGAGAAACATGTCAAAGACTTGCTCCTGGATCCTGTCCTCACACACCCTAAGCCACATTACAAACTTGTTCCTAAATACCCATGCAACATGATAATTGTAGCTAAACAAATTTTTGCTCTACACTTGAGTGCAGTCAATTCTCCAATTAAATAGCAATTAAAAATCTGAGACATTACAGGAGTGGGGAAGTAGACTACCCATAAGCACAGGAGAGATGGAAAATTAAACTTGATGATATGACAAATTGCTGGTTATAGACTACTATGAAAGAAAATGGATTAATTCATGTGAATAGTTCTATTGATTTGCACTTAATAGCTGGAACTTGATTGAAGGCACAGGATGACATGTAATGCGGACTACAAGGGAATGAGAGAAAAGGGACTCTTCTCGTCCACTCGTATAATGCTAGATGCTACCCAAAACGTGTCTACATATTTTGTATGTATAATATCAATCTTTCCTGTTGATTTAAAATGCAACTAACTTGTGCCAGGACCCCAAGCCCATATAGTTTCTTGTGTAAGTATAACCTCGCTTGCTTGGTTAATTTTAAGATATTGCCACATCTTTCCTCTACAAATGGTATTTTGACCTCTAGTAAAAAATGAGAACAGGACCATAAAGAAGGCTGATCGCCGAAAAATTGATGCTTTTGAATTCTGGTGCTGGAGGAGATTCTTGAGAGCCCCATGGACTGCAAGAAGATCAAACCTATCCATTCTTAAGGAAATCAGCCTGGGTGCTCACTGGAAGGACAGATCCTGAAGCTGAGGCTCCAGTACTTTGGCCACCTCATGAGAAGAGAAGACTCCCTGGAAAAGACCCTGATGTGGGAAAGATTGAGGGCACAAGGAGAAGGGGATGACTGAGGATGAGATGGTTGGACAGTGTTCTCGAAGCTACCAGCATGAGTTTGACCAAACTGCGGGAGGCAGTGGAAGACAGGAGTGCCTGATGAGAAGGTTAAAGCACATAAAGTGTTTAAAAACCATATTGTCAGGAAAGCACTGTTTAATGTCTGGATAAGATACAAAGATTTGTTAGAAAATAAAACCCCGAGATGGCTGTCACCGATGGAAGCAAAGGCTCAGAAAAAGCTCAATATGGAGGCCAAATGGCCGAAGTATTGGGAAATTCTGGAGCAAGAGGGAGATAGACTAAAACTGCAGAGTTTTGAAAAATTAAAAAATAGAGTGCGAGATTGGCTCCATTACTATCAAATAATGGAGGCATATAACTTGAACAAAAAATTAGGCTTCCAGGTGGAAAAATTTAAATTGGAAACAGAATTGTTAGATTCTAAAGTTAAGAATTTGTCAAAAATGTATTCAATGCTGTTGAAATGGAATACTCAAGATGAAACGGTGAAATCTGCTATGATTAAATGGGCACAAGATGTTGGACATAATATTATGATGGCAGACTGGGAACAGTTATGGACCACTGGTATCAAGTTTACGGCATGTAATGCCTTAAAAGAGAATTTAATGAAAATGATTAATAGGTGGTACATAACATCAGTCAAGCTTGCAAAAATCTATCATTTGCCTGATAATAAATGTTGGAAATGTAATGAAACTGAAGGTACATTCTTTCACTTTTGGTGGACATGCCCAAAGATTAAGGCATTCTGGGAGATGATCTATAATGAAATGAAAAATGTATTTAAATATACCTTCCTTAAGAAACCAGAGGCCTTTCTCCTGGGCATGGTCGGCCAATTGGTGCCAAAGAAGGATAGAACTTTTTTTATGTATGCTACAACAGCAGCAAGAATACTCATCGCAAAGCACTGGAAGACACAAGATCTACCCACCAGGGAAGAATGGCAGATGAAGCTGATGGACTACATGGAGTTGGCGGAAATGACTGGCAGAATCCGAGACCAGGGAGAAGAGTCGGTGGAAGAAGATTGGAAAAAATTCAAAGTATATTTACAGAAATACTGTAAAATTCATGAATGTTAGAAGGATGCTGGAATGAAGTTACATGGTTTTAGCAGAAATGTTATAAAGAATTAAGTAAAAGTGGATTGTAATGGGTCAAAGTGTAAAATTTAAGGTCAGATTGGGTTAAGGCAAATTATAGAACAAAAACGGAGAAAGATGGAAAGGATTTGCTGAAATAGCTAATTTTGAATTAGAATACAAAAAAGGGAGGTGTGAGGAGGTCGATGAAACAAGTAAATGAAAGACAAAGATATGGAAATACTGGATGTGTTTTTAAATGTTTTTGTTTTTAAATGTTTTTTCTTCTTATTGTTGTGCTGTATTGTTTTTTCTATTTTGCTTTTTATTTTTTTGATGTATTGTAATTTCTTATTGTTTTTCTTTTTCTTTTTTTGTAATTGTTAAACTTTTAATAAATATCTTTTTTTTTTTTAAAAAAAAAGGAAGACAGGAGTGCCTGGCGTGCTCTGGTCCATGGGGTCATGAAGAGTCGGACACGACTAAACAACAAAAGTAAAAAATAAAAATAAAATCTAACTTTGCATACTTAAAACTTAACTTTAGCAGGAAGCGTTCTGAAAATGTGAGTCATGCCAAGACTCAGTCTATGGTGTGCAGCATTTGCCAAAGGAGTAGATCCAATAAGGGACACATCGCTTCAGCTGGTGTTTCCCCTTTGGTGTGGGACTTAGCTACTGGTAATTCTAATGACCAGTTCAAGCTCAGAGAACCTGCATAACAATAAAACAAAAGCAGGATTTGCTTTTACAACTTTCATTTACCTTTTGGAGTTCTTGAAGGTTGTCCTGAAATTCTTCAGGTTTCTCCCACTGCGATTCTTAAGGGTGGGGATGATAATAATAAAAGAAGAGATATTAGGTTTCAGTTGTCTGTACATTGAAAAAACGATGGTGACACATAAAGTAAATCTGTATGGGAAGTAATGATAGCTTGGGTAATGGCCACAGTGATGGGAGCACCATGGGGAGCACTGAGCTGGCTCTGCCAATGTGTCCACGCAGCCTCCACCTTGCTGGGCCTCCTCCCCATCCCAGTAAGCGGCAGTGATGCCAATCTCAGGAGGGTGGCTCCACGTGGTCACACTGATAGCTCCTGAAGGACTGAAGACGGCAGACTGGAGAAAAGCTTCAGAAAGGAAGAAGTCTGCAGCAAATGTGTTTTTTTTAGCCAAGGAACTTCCATGCGTGGTGAGAGCAGGTTATTTTGTTCTGATGTCATAGGTACAAGCGGGTGGTGAGGTAATTGGAAAGGAGCCATTGCAAGATATGTGGATGCTTAAATCCACATTCCTTGTTACAGGTTTACCTCCTGATATAGTGTTGTAGTAATACATATAGCCTTCTGGAGAAAATCCTCGCACCCATTCCTTTGTTTCATCTGATGATGTTTCTGTGGTCTCTCTCTCTCTCTTTCTCTTTTCTTTCTTTTCCTCATGCTTTTTTGGTGCTGAGCTCTGACCTAAAGATTCTGAAACATCAAGTTCCAGTTTTAAAAAACAAACATCAAAACTTTCAGGGACTTCTGGGTTGCTGTGGATGCTCCCTTCATGAGCAAAGACCAAGGATATATTTTGGGGGTTTGGGAGAGCTACACCCGCTATCATCCCCCTGGATTAAAGAGACTGGATATAGATCACTCACACACTTGTTAAGCCAGCTCCCCTTCCCTGCTGAGCCAAAAGGTTCAGTGAAGGAGAGGGGCTTGAGTGACAGGGAGTGGGAATCCATCTTGCTGACTCCTCTATCAGATAATTCACTGAACAGAAGCTGGCTGAGCGTAACCTTCTCTGATCTGGATTATAACAAGAGAAGCTCACCTGGACATGATGTAGAAATGAATTGCTGGGATTTATATCTGCTGTTTTTTTAAGGAGGGAAAGAGGAAGCAACTACAGTTATGGGAAAAGTGAGTGACAGAACATATTAAGCAGGAGCTTGTTCATCTCTTTGGCAGCGTCAGACCCTACCTGTCGTAGCACCAATTCTTTTCAAATCCTCCTGATAAGCCTTCATTGCAGCTTCCTCCATGGCTGCAAATTCCTTTGACATTTTTTCTTCTTCTTTTGCCTTTTCCAAACTTTTCTTTTTAATCTGCAATTGAAAAAATAATGAGTTCCATTAAATAATGGAATTTAATATAATGTGATTAGTTTAAACAAGGTTTAATATATTGTATTACCTCACTAATCTTTTTAGCCACATTTTCCTTATGGTTTTTTCCTCGTTCATGAAAGTCAATACTCTTTAAAAGGAAATGAGACAGAATTAAAATACACAGAAATGTGAACTGGCAGGAGCACAAATGAGACTGAACACAGGTGACATATTAAAACAAAAGGAAGCAAACCTACCAGTAACCTAGAGTTCCAACCAGAAGTTTAATGACATGGGGCTGGGGTACCTTAGTGACACTGTGCTCTATATGAACCTGTTCAAGAGTTCATCAAAGGCACAGCTCTATGTGTTGCCTGCTTGCCCTAATAGGACAGATAGGAACTGGGGGGAAGGCCGCTGCAGTGGCAGCATGCCGCTCACAGAATGTACCCGCCAGGAAGCCTTGCTTGGTACCTTTGCTTTTAAGTTCCAGACACCTTTTCTTTTCCCTCTCAGGCATTTTAGCTGGATTTTGTGGCAGTGCTCAGGATGTTTTATGCTACTATGTCTTGTGTTTTATTCTGCTTCTGTTTCAATCTGCTGTTTTTATCATTTTCTTGTTTAAATTATTTGTTAACAGAAGCTGGCTAAAATATCTTAAATAAATAAGATCACTACAGTCAATTAAAATCTCAAAATAATAATACTGCATACTAATACAGGCTTGCCTCAGTGAAATGCTCAGAAGTTCAGGCTACAAAGATAAATATAAAAGAAACACACAATAGGAAGGATGAAAACAAGTTTCCTTTTCTTTCAATCACAAGGATTCCTGAAATGTTAATTTATTTTAAATATATATCAGGCTTATAATACTTAGTAACAGCAGCAATGAAGAATACCAGCCTGAAGCACTGTTGCGACCCCACATAATCTCTAAGGGAACATATGGAGCACACAGGACAGTAGTGCTTGTGAAATACAATATAGTCACATTGGTCAGTACATATTTTACCAACCGGCAATTTAGTGCACAAAACTACTGACTTCCCCAATGTTGATGACCTGCAAGGGGCACTATTGGAATGGTGTGCAGGCTTCTCTCTGCCCGCCTCTACCAATAGAAAGGGGCTTCATGGGGGGAGGGGCTCTCACTGCCAGCAGTCAGCAGAAAGTCTCAGAACAGGGTGTTTCTGGCACTGTAGGCACACATCTTCCAAGGGGCCCAATTCTGGAGCACAGCAAAGGGAATGAATAAAAAATCTCTGCACCCTCTCCTTCCTTCTCCTCCTAGGATTGCTTTGCTACTTATTTTATTTCCAACCAGCTGAAGTGTGGTAAAGTTCTCACCACTTGCCAGAATGATGCAGCTGAACATCTTACCAAGTTAAAATGTTTTTCTTTGTTCACACAGTTCTTTGTAAGCTTTGGAATGGGATATGGGGTTTAGCCACAGGAAAAGCAGGGGTAGCAGAAGAAGAAACTGAAGCTTCTAATTTAGGTAACAGGGTTACAGATTGTGAAGTAGGAATAGGTTTGGAGAAAGTCATGCTAAGGGAGAGAAAGAGGCTGGTCTTCCTTTGTTGAGACAGAAATGCAAGAAGTTGCTTAAGAACAACTTTAGAGAGGATTACAATGATGTTTTGAAGGGGTGGGACAGAAGGCCATACAGGAACGCAGCTGACACTTTTTGCTTACAAGATTTTGTTATTGCCGTAAGTTTATACTTTGTGCCACAAAGAACTGCCAAAGTAATCCAGATTTTGCACAAAGTCAGTCAAAACATACCATGAAAATTAAGTTTGTATGCATTGGTTTATTTGCATAATTTATTCTGATTGTGTCAGCCATGGAAATAGGTAAGCAGACTGTTCAAAATTTTGCAGTTATATTCTTGTTTGTAAGATTTCACCAGCCATTGTCCACATTTTTTCAAGTTTATCTTTAAAGCCGCGAAAGCTAGGGATTTGCTTTGTTAAAATAAGGGTGTAGGGACTTATAAGAAGAATGATCAAAGAGAATTCATCAATATTGTTGTAACAAACAGAAATATTGCAAGGAGTGCCCTCCACTAACCTGAGATCTTGAGACTTCACAGCTCACATGACATGCAACTACCATCAATATTAATCCTGCTCGGGCACACAGGTAGGAAGCATGGGGACAAAATTGTCCCCTGCATACCCAGCTGACCCAATCAGTCGCCAACCTTTCTGTAATGAGCAGGGGACGTCTGAGGAGTTTTTACCTGTGCTCACTTAAATGTGAGTGGAAGGCTCTGCATGATCCAGCCCCCTGATAAAGCAGGTTCCCCCATCATGTAGAGGCTTCTAGCTCCTTTCATACCTTCCACATTTAACCTGGGAAGGTCAGGGACTGAGTGAACAGAACAGGGGGTGGGGGTGGTCCCATGCCTCCTACGCATGTGGGTTGTTCTCATTCAGGAACAATGCCTGAATAGAAATACTGTTGCAGCTATTGGAGTACTCATGACAGCTGGTCCCAATAAAGATCAGGACAGTATCAGTAGCTGTTGCACAACCTCTAAGGAAGCAGTATATCTGGATCTCAGATATACCTGGGGTTCGCTCAGACTCAGCACTCAGGTGACCACTCCTCATAATACAAACTTCCAAGTCTAGATTGACCTGTTGAAAATTAATATATAATTCATTTTTTGTACTTCAGTTTCACTTAAGAGTACAGAAGGTAGATCATCATACAGGCTTGTTGTCCGCTATCCAGCACTTGCAATAATCACAGAATTTCTTGGGCTGAGATTTCCAGTAATCGGCCCTAGAAAAGAAAAATGTGGAAATTAAAAGCCATTTTGCAAGAGTAAGCAACTCAAACTGAATCCCAACCTTCTCACTGAGTTATTTGTTCCAATGCCAAAAATCTACTTTTCCTAATGTGCGATACCAACCATTTATTTGTTTTCTGAAACACAGGAGTGCTTCAGAGAATCTCAGTGAAGAACAATGAAGGCTCTTAGAACATACTAAGTGCCATATTTTTGCGCCATAAGACGCACCTAGTTTTTAGAGCAGGAAAACAAGAAGAAAAAAAATCTGACTCAAACGTTGTACTAAACTATTGAAAACAGCAAGGCGGGCGGCTCCTGTCCGCTTTGCTGCTTTAAAGCGAGCCACGGTACATAATGAAGTTAATGGAAAAAGGATAGACATTCCATTACAATGTAGCTGCTTTCATTATCACTGGGAAGTCAGTATTGGCAGCGGTCACATAAACTAAAATTTGAGCATTTTACTGTTATTAATCAAGAATGGTAATAGTCAGGGAGAGAAACCAGGGCTGTGCAAATGAGAAGGGCTTGGAGTATGGAGAAACAGCAAAGACATAAAATGATTGCGCTCCAGTTCCTAAATCTGTGAAGTTTTCTCAAAACAGGCACAGTTGTTTTGAAAGGAAGATTCAAAGAGTGGGAAATGGAGTGATTGAGCAAAGAACAGAGGAGGAAAAGAGGGCAGATAAATAGCTTCCATTCAATACCAAGAGAACACAATGTTTTTGGTTTGGTATGGGGGGACTGTGCTTGTAAGAATTTTTTTTAATGAATTATAGATTTGGGGTGGAATATCAGTGCTTCTTTTCAGCAATAAAGATTAGCTGCTAGGAACATGGTCCACACACAAACACACAGGATGTCCGGTTATAGTTGTGCAGTTTAAACTGTTCCTGAGCCAGATGCCTGCTTAGTTTTAGCTGAGCTCACTATTACTGGTTTATGGAGATGCTTTGCATGTATTGATGACTATTTCCGCAAAACTGCTACTTGAAGAAATCCCCAAACTTAATATTTTAAAACTTCAAATGGAGCTCAGAATCCAGTTAGGCAATCAAGCCTTTGCAGTTCAATTAGGAGGCACTGAGAGACGGCAATTTGCTGCCCCCCCCCAAAGAGCAACCCAGGAGCGCTGGGCAACGGTGCACAGCCTGCCCGCTGCTCCCAAACCTTTCCTGGGCTTTAGGGGCAGAAAAGCTCACTCCCAAAGAGCAGCCCAGGAGCATGCCGCACTCCGGCAATTTGGCTCCAGGGACCACATATTCGCTCCATAAGATGCACAGGCATTTCCCCTTACTTTTTAGTGCGTTTTATGGAGTGAAAAATACGGTATGTGTATTACTGTAGTACTTTATACATGTAAATAACATATAAAAAGATGCAATTTATTCCCACAATAACTATGAGACTGAAAAACAGTGATGGGCCCAAGTCCACACAGGAAACTTAAGAATTGGGCAGGATAGGACTTCTGGTTCGCTGTGGAGGTAATGGCAGCGTGCTCCGTGTCGTCCGCTTAAGGGACGGAACAGTTCTGGCAGATAGAGCTTTGGGGGTGAGCGCCAGGGCTTGGTGCCCCCAACCCCCACCCCATGGAGGAGTGGGGGTCCTAGGGGTCCAGCAGAGTGTGGGAACTCACCCTCCTGAGCCTCCAGGCTGCCATTTTTGCGCGGGGGAAAGAGGCTTGAGTTCGCTCATGGCTCTACCGCACTCTACTGCCGAAGCCACACACCGCCAACACAAGCAGCGGATCTTCCAATTAGAAGTAGAAGCCAAATAAAGTTTTTTTTAAAAGGAATTAGGCGTAAATTAACTGATTTGGTGAAACGGAAGCAAAAAAGGAAGTCACCTTCTGATTTTTGTGGACAGGCTCTGCAAGGGAATTTTTTGTGAATGGGAAGTAATAATAATAATAATAATAATAATATTTTATTTATACCCCGCCCTCCCCAGCCAAGGCCGGGCTCAGAGCGGCTTACAACCAATAATAAAAACAAGAAGAATGATTACAACTTAAAAACAAAAATAAAATACAACATTAAAATAATGGAACATTAAAATATTAAAATGTAGCCTCATTGCAGGAGGAGAAGGAAAAGAAAAAAGAAAGAGAGGGAGGGAGGGAATCAAATTGGCTCCAAGCCAAAGGCCAGGCGGAACAACTCTGTCTTATAGGCCCTGCGGAAAGAAATCAGATCCTGCAGGGCCCTGGTCTCATGAGGCAGAGCGTTCCACCAGGCCGGAGCCAGAGTTGAAAAGGCCCTGGATGAATGACACTTTATTTAGAGATGAAGAAGTGTATAAAAAGGCCCAAAAAACCTTGAGAGATTATTTTGAAATTAACATGAGCACCAATGTTGAAAAAAGAGTAATCTGGGACGCAAGCAAAGCCGTTATGCGAGGGTTCTTGATACAACAAAATGCAATAAAAAAGAGAAGCCAAAATGAAAAAAAAGATAAGATCTTGGAGAAGATAAAAGAAGGGGAAAGGAAATTAAGATCAAAACCAAAGTCCCAAGAGATCTTGAGAGAAATTAAGTTATATCAAACACAATATATGGAACTGACGAACCAAGAAATAGAATGGAAAATGAAACAAATGAGACAAAAGACATTTGAATCAGCAGATAAATGTGGCAAACTACTGGCTTGGCAAATGAGGAAAAGACAAAAATTAAATACGGTTACAAATTTAGAAGTGGAAGGAAGGAACATCTATAACCCAATTGAAATCTGGAATTGCTTCCAGAGATATTTTAAACAACTATATTCACAATGGATGCAGAAAGAAAAGGACATAGACCAATTTCTTGAAACACATGGACTACAAAAAATTTCCAGGAAAGTAAAATGGTGTTGAATCAGAAAATAACTGAACAGGAAATAGAAGGTGCCATTCAAAACATGCAATTGGGGACTTCCGGGTTGGCGCCATCGCCGAATGGCGGATTCCCTCCGAGCTCCGGAGGGAATCTGCTCGACAGGGGTTGGGTTCTGCCGCGCCGGCGATGCGGGGACCCTCAAAAACCACGGGCGCGGATGCCCGTGGACCTGGTGACTCGGCGGGCACCATTTGTGCCCTCCCGACCCGCGAAGGAGCCTTTTTAAAGGCTACGGAGCGGGGGACGGGGAGCGGCGCGGTGCTGTGAGTCTACTGCTTCCCCTGCCGAGCGAAGCCGCATGCCATTCGTCGGAGAGCGCTGACTTCTTCTTCTGAAAATTTGGACTTAAAACTAAGAACAACAACCCGTGAGTAATTTGGAAATTGGACTATAAACTTTTTTCTTTCTGGATTCGGTACGAGCGGGGGGAGGTGCAAAGAGGAAGTCCATTGTAAACATTTTAAAGCAAGGATTTGACAAGTAAGGTCGAGAGAAGAGTCTTTTTCTTTTTGGATAAAAGTTATTAATTCCACGGATTGAAAGTATAAGTAATTGTGCTGGAGGATAAGAGCTAACTTTCTGATTAAAGTGCCACCCCTCCCGGGACCGGGAGCGATCCGCGAGAGGAGCCTGCTGAGGAGACACAGAAGATTTTGACAGCTGTCAAATTAGCTGTCAAAGTCGGAAAAAATAGAAAACTTTACTTTTGATGTTTTTGCCGGTTATATTAGATACAATATAGCTACAAGTTGCTGAAAATAAAGAAGGACTGAAACAAATTAACTTGATTTTTGGATTGGAAGTGAAAGGAATACTAAATAACCAGAATCCCTCTAGAGGGGGATCAGGGACATTACAAGAATGGAAATAGGCCGGAAAATACTGGCTGACCTGGATGAGGTTGCTTTTCTCATGGGAAAGTTGCGAAGGATGTATGAGCAAGGTCATGTTTTGTCTACAAGTGCCATAAATTTGAAGTCAACAACAAATGTATCTAACTGAGTTGGAAGAGGACTTGATGTACAAAACCCAGGCAGCTGAACAAGAAAAGAAACTAGAGGAAATTGAGGAAGAAGAGGAAGAGATATATGCTGAACAGGAGGAGCAGAAAGGAGGGGCTGCAATGCTGCAGAAGGCAAATGAGAGCCGGAGGCCTGTCAAGATGGATACAAAAGAAAATAAGGACTGGAAGAGGGAAACTTGGTTTGAACTTAGAAATGAGGAATGGAAAGATCTCCTTCTGTGGGGATCTGAAGATCTTTGGATTTTAAGTTTGATCAAGGTGGAAGCTGGAGCTCTTGGGACATCTGGACTTAAAAGGATTAAGAAACAAGATTTGAGCCCCACTTTTGAACATGGAGGTCTGGCTGGAAGGAACATGGACATTATAGAGAGAGTGCCCCTCCGAGACTTGGTGTTAATTATAAGGGACTTTCAAAGGAACCGGCAGAGAGGGACTGAGAGAGACTTAAGGGCCTCGGACGTGAGGTTGCCAGGCTGATAGTAGATGGACTAATGGACAATGGTTCTGGGATCGAAACCGGGGAAGGGAGGGTGGGTTTTGGAAATCCAAAGGGTGTTTGATTCTTTTTACTCTGTTTTTAATTTTGTGTTGTTATTAGTATAAGAATGGGGAATTCGTGGAAGGGAAACTGGGTCGACCTTAGAAAAAGCTCTCAAGTGTAAAGGATTGAGGTATATAAGTTAAAAGTTGATATATAAATTGAATTAAATATAATAACAAATCAAGGTTAAAAATATAATAAATATAATAACAAATTAAGGTTAAGAATTTAGGGATAAGAACTTGTTGGATAAATATTTGGACATGGAATACAAGAAGGGGAGGTGAGGGGAAGTCGCGGAAAAAAAAGTGACTGAAAATGGGATTGTAAAGGATGAATTCTTTTTTATTTTTTTGTTCTTTTTCTTTTTTGTATTATTTGAAACTCTAATAAAATATTATTTAAAAAAAACAAAAAAAAAACATGCAATTGGGCAAGTCTCTGGGACCGGATGGGCTGACTTCCAGATACTATAAAGCGTTGAAGGAGTGGTTACTACAACCTTTGAAGGAAGTCTGCAATGAAATTTTGGAGGGGGAAAAGGCACCAGAATCGTGGAAAGAGGCTTTTATTACACTTATACCGAAGACAGAGACTGAAAAGACTCAACTTAAGAACTACCGGCCCATCTCGTTACTAAATGTGGATTACAAAATTTTTGCTGATATTTTGGCTAAGAGACTGAAAATAGTTTTGATGAAGGAGATCCATAAAGACCAAACGGGCTTTCTTCCGGGAAGACATTTATCAGATAACGCAAGGAATATAATTGACATTTTGGAAAAGCTAGATGTGAACATAAACACTAAAGTAGCTTTGATATTTGTGGACGCGGAGAAAGCCTTTGACAATATTTCTTGGAGATTTATGAAAAAGAATCTCCAGGGGATGGGGGTAGGCCAAGGTTTTGAAAATGGTATAGGTGCAATATACTCAGAGCAAAAAGCAAAGCTAATTGTAAATAATGTGGTTACGGAAGAATTCAAGATAGAAAAAGGGACACGTCAGAGGTGCCCAATCTCCCCATTATTTTTTATATCAGTCCTGGAGGTTTTGCTGAACATGATTAGAAAGGATCAGCTGGTTAAAGGGGTACAGGTCGGAGCTAAACAGTACAAACTGAGCGCATTTGCAGATGATTTGGTACTTACATTACAAGAGCCAGAATCTAGTACTAAAAGGGTCTTAGAATTAATTCAAGAGTTTGGTCAAGTAGCAGGATTTAAACTGAACAAATTGAAAACCAAGGTATTAGAGAAAAACTTAGCACCTATCGAAAGGGAGAGGTTTCAGAATGAGACAGGTTTAACAGTAGTTAAGAAAGTGAAGTATTTGGGGATTAATATGACAGCTAAAAATGCGAATTTGTTTAAAGATAACTATGAGAAATGTTGGACAGAAGTGAAAAAAGATTTAGAAATTTGGTCAAACTTGAAGCTTTCCTTGTCTGGTTGAATTGCAGCTATTAAGATGAATGTATTGCCTAGAATGTTGTTTTTATTCCAAACACTGCAGATTGTGGACAAGATGGACTGTTTCAAGAAGTGGCAGAAAGACATTTCTAAATTTGTCTGGCAGGGCAAGAAACCCAGAATTAAATTTAAGATTTTAACTGATGCAAAGGAAAGGGGGGGATTTGCCTTGCCAGACTTCAGACTATATTATGAATCAGCAGCATTCTGCTGGTTGAAAGATTGGCTGCTTCTTGAGAATACAGATATTCTGGATTTAGAAGGTTTTAACAATATTTTTGGGTGGCATGCTTATTTGTGGTATGACAAGGTTAAAGCTCATAAAGCTTTTAAAAACCATATTGTCAGGAAAGCACTGTACAATGTCTGGATTAAGTATAAAGACTTGTTGGAAAATAAAACTCCAAGGTGGTTGTCGCCAATAGAGGCAAAGGCTGGGAAAAGACTTAATATGGAGTCCAAATGGCCAAAATACTGGGAAATTTTAGAACAAGAAGGGGAGAAACTGAAATTGCAGAGTTTTGAGAAATTAAAAGATAAAGTGCTAGACTGGTTGCATTATTATCAAATAATGGAGGCTTATAAGATGGACAGGAAAATTGGCTTCCAGGTGGACAAATCAAAACTGGAAACAGAACTGTTAGATTCCAATACTAAGAATTTGTCAAAAATGTATAACTTGCTGTTGAAATGGAATACGCAGGATGAAACGGTTAAATCAGCTATGATCAAGTGGGCACAAGATATTGGTCATAACATTATGTTTGCTGATTGGGAGCAGTTGTGGACCACCGGTATGAAATTTACGGCATGTAATGCCCTAAAAGAAAATATTATGAAAATGATCTATAGGTGGTACATGACCCCAGTCAAGCTTGCAAAAATTTACCACTTGTCTGATAATAAATGCTTGAAATGTAAAGAGACTGAATGGACATTCTTTCACCTGGACATGCCCAAGGATAAAGGCTTTCTGGGAAACCATATATAATGAAATGAAAAAGGCATTTAAATATACCTTCTTGAAGAAACCAGAGGCTTTTCTCCTAGGTATGGTCGGCCAATTGGTGCCAAAGAAGGATAGAACTTTCTTTATGTATGCCACAACAGCAGCAAGAATACTCATTGCAAAGTACTGGAAGACACAAGAACTGCCCACCGTGGAAGAATGGCAGATGAAGGTGATAGACTATATGGGACTGGCAGAAATGACCGGCAGAATCTGTGACCAGGGAAGAGAGACGGCGGAAGAAGATTGGAAGAAATTTAAAGACTATCTCAGGAAACATTGCAAAATTAATGAATGTTAGAACGATGTGGATTTTAGAAATTAATGGTTTTCAGCTGTAATGATTAAGTAAAAAGAAAAGAAAGGTTAAAAACTAAACAAAAAATTAAGGGAGAGGATTTGCTGAACTAATGAATTAGAAACTGGAATACAGAAAGGGGAGGTATGAGGAGGTCGGGGAAGTAAGTTATAAGAAAATAAGGGAATGAAATTATACTTGTTTTGTTTGTGTTTTTGTTTGTAATACTGTTTTTTTTGTATAATTTTTGAAAATTTAATAAATATCTTAAAAAAAAAAAAGTCCCTGGCTCTGGTTGAAGCCAATCTAACTTCCTTAGGGCCTGGGACCACTAGGGTGTTGTTATTTATGGACCTTGAGGCTCTCCGGGGGCATACCAGGAGAGGCGGTCCCGTAGGTACGAGGGTCCTAGGCCGTGAAGGGCTTGAAAGGTCAAAAGCAGCACCTTAAATCTGACCCTGTACTCCACCGGGAGCCAGTGCAGCTTGAAAAGCACTGGGTGAATATGCTCCCATGGCAGAGACCCTGTGAGGAGACTCACTGCAGCATTCTGCACCCGCTGGAATTACTGGGACAGCTTCAAGGGCAGCCCCGCATAGAGCGAATTACAGTAGTCAAGCCTGGAGATGACCGTCGCATGGATCACTGTGGCCAGATCGGGGCGGGAAAGGTAAGGGACCAACTGCTTGATGCGGCGAAGGTGGAAAAATGTCGCCTTGGCTGTTGCTGTAACTTGCGCCTCCATGGAAAGGGAGGAGTCAAGGATTACACCCAAACTCTTAACGGAAGGCACTGGCACTAATTGGGCCCCCGCAAGAGAAGGGAGTTGGTCCCTCATCCCCATGCCATCCCGACCTAGCCATAGGACCTCTGTCTTCGAAGGATTTCGAAGAAGTAGAGTGGCATTCGCAGCTATGCAGATTTAGTAACAGTTTAACTTTGGACTTTTGAGACTTTCTTTTGTCAGCATTTAAAGTTTCTGACAGATATATTTTTTTAGGGTGATTTCACGATATAGCCAATTTTCATACCCCAAAAAAGAAAAACATGTCTGCACTTTTGAAAACAACAACCCTGTAATAACCAATATTATTTTAGATTTTAAGATAAACAACTTTGTTTCTTTTTTTTAATTTTACAGCTAGTGATTGTAGGAAAGTTGTACCCAGTAGTCATTCCCCTCCCCCACGATGTCCCAAAAACGTAAAATTTTGTCATAAGACATAAGAGACCCATAAATTTTAGTCTTTGTTGAGAAAGAACATGTCTTTGCAATAATTTTTACCATCAAAAACTATTGATTGCATTGTGCCCTAATGCTGAAAATTCAGCTTTTCTAAACCTAGTTTTTCTACCCAAAAATCTACATTTATACATTTTTTTAGGCATTTATAAAATCTTTTGAGTGCTGGTGTATTTTTTCCTAAAATCCTCATCATGTTATTGATCGCTATGTAAAATTTCAAAGAGATCTGATCATTGGTTATGGAGGGGGGAAAAATAAAATGCACACAAGGCCAGGATCTTGAGGGACTGAAACACAGATTTCACGAAACTTTGAAGTGCTATAGAATTAAAACTGTTTGAGATAGAGGAAAACATTTAAGGGGGTTTCTTTCAACCATAAGGGAAGGGTGTACAGCAAGTTTCATCAAAATCTGAGAGGGCGGTGAAACCCTTGTTTTTTGCGTTGATTTGATGCGGAATGACCCATCTCTCCTCCATTTCATCTCTGGTCTTACAAACTATGAACATATTTTTTTTTCTCCTCTCCTTCTTAAATGAGGTCAAAAACTTGTGCATCACTTTGTAATTTCTGATTGGTTTGAATATAGACGACCTATTAATTATTATTAATAATTCTCCTCCTTCTCCTCCTTATCCCTGTATGGGAGTTTTCTGACCCGTTTCCCCGCCCCTTTGGCCAGATAATGACACACGGGCGTGCGATACTGGGGGCTCCCGGGACGCGTGTAGGCCCGCGCGTGATCCCCCCCCCCCGCGCGCGAGACGGGCTCCTGAGGAGCAACCGGGAGCGGGGCTGAGAGACGCCGCGTCCCTTTCACGTGTGAAAGGCTCCCTCGGGGGGCGGCCTGAGGGAGGGAGGGAAGGAGCCAGGCCCACCCACCTTCGGCGGCGCCCCCTCCCGCTTTCCTCCCTTCCCGGGAGCGCTTACATCTCTCTCGCCGAGCCGCCGCCGCCGCCGCCGCCGGGTCTGTTTCCTGAGGAGCGGAGGGAGCCGAGCAGCAGCGCCTTTCTCTCCCCCCAAGAGGCGACGCGACGGACGGCAGCCGCACAGGCTCAATCCGCGCCGCGCGTTCGCCCGCTCGCTTCCTCGGAGAGGCGGAGGAGGAGCCTCCCGTCGGGCGGGCGGGCGGGCGGGGGAGGGGCGCGCCAGAGCCGCGGCGAGTTGCGCGCGTCGCCCCCCCACGAGACCCCCCCCGCGCGGGCTCTGAGCGGCCGCGGGTTCGAGTCCCGCGCGGGCGGGATCCGCCACTTCAGAGCGGGCGGGGAAAGAGGCGCTTTCGGGTGGCGCGGAAACCCGACGGGGCGCCGTCCGCGAGAAGGAGACGCCGTGGCGGGCCGGTCAGTTGGCTTCCTCGAGTCCGAGCTCCCCCTCCTGCCCTGCCCCCTCCCGCGCTCCCCCTGGAGCCCCGCCCGGGCCGCCCCTTCGGGTCGGAAGAAAAGGCCCCGCGCAGCTGCGGCTCGGAGGGGCTTCCCCTTCCTCTCCCCCGCGGAGGGGATCCAGGCGGCCCTTCGGGGCGATGCCGGGGATGCTCAGGGTCCCCGCCCCGACGGGCCCGGCTCGCTCGCTCTCCCGCGGAGGCTTTGGGCCAAACGGGGGGCAACAGGCACCATCTAAACGGGGGGGGGTCTGGTTTTCAGCAAGACGGGGAGAGGTGCTGCCCCCCCTTTCCTCCGCTCTTACGTTCTTGCCGCTTGTTTCCTTTCTTCAGCGCTGGAAGTGAGCTGGGAGGCGAGAGCGATGGCTGAGCGAGCGACTCGGGAGAGGTAAGTCTCGGAGCAGCGCGAGTTTCTCTCGGCCTCTGCATTGGGGCAGCTGCTTAAGGAAGTCTCTCCCCCCCCCCCACTTCCACGGGGGAAGAGGAACCTCCGGCTCCGTGGGCCCCGCAGAAGCCCACACAGCACTCCAGAGTTTCAGGTCACACCCGCCACTTTAAAGCACTGCTGTAGCAGCGCTTGAATCCTGGACTGTACTTTGCGAAAGGTGCTGGGAAGAGTGGTTCTGGGAGGCCTCATGAGTGCTTTGCATAATTTTAAGTTTTAGGAAACCTCAGTAAAGACTAACTGCCGTTTGTCTGAGTTTGGGCAGAACACTAAGCTGCAGTTAGTATCTTCTTTTCATGGCCACACTGGAGGAAAGGGTGGCGATCCTAGGAACCCAGTGCTCACAAAGACTTGTTATTGCAATACTAAACCATGGTACAACTGCAGCCCCATAAGGTAACTTTCAGCTAGGAAGTGAGGATTTGTGGGCAATACTATTAACATGAAAAGGTTGGTCCTTAGGGTATAAATATTGATTTGGTGATTGAAGGAGTGCCACCCAGTGGATATAAAGGTGTATTATACCTCACATATTTATTGTTGTTGTTGTTTAGTCATTTAGTCGTGTCCGACTCTTCGTGACCCCATGGACCAGAGCACGCCAGGCACCTCTGTCCTCCACTACCTCCCGCAGTTTGGTCAAACTCATGCTGGTAACCTCGAAAACACTATCCAACCATCTCGTCCTCTGTCGCCCCCTTCTCCTTCTGCCCTCCATCTTTCCCAGCATCAATGGCTTCTCCAGGGAGTCTTCTCTTCTCATGAGGTGGCCAAAGCACTGGAGCCTCAGCTTCATGATCTGTCCTTCCAGTGAGCAATTTGCAGTTACTTTTGATATTATGAGCAAGTGTGGTTTGTATTAATGTTCTGACAATTCATAATGATTAGTTCACTTATGAGTTAAAGGTAAAGGTAAAGGTACCCCTGCCCGTACGGGCCAGTCTTCACAGACTCTGGGGTTGTGCGCCCATCTCACTCAAGAGGCCGGGGGGCAGCGCTGTCCGCAGACACTTCCGGGTCACGTGGCCAGCGTGACAAGCTGCATCTGGCGAGCCAGCGCAGCACACAGAACGCCGTTTACCTTCCCGCTGGTAAGCGGTCCCTATTTATCTACTTGCACCCGGGGGTGCTTTCGAACTGCTAGGTTAGCAGGCGCTGGGACCGAGCAGCGGGAGCGCACCCCGCCGCGGGGATTCGAACCGCTGACCTTTCGATCGGCAAGCCCTAGGCGCTGAGGCTTTTACCCACAGCGCCACCCGCGTCCCTTCCACTTATGAGTTGTTGTTGTTGTTGTTTAGTCGTTTAGTCGTGTCCGACTCTTCGTGACCCCATGGACCAGAGCACGCCAGGCACCTCTGTCCTCCACTACCTCCTGCAGTTTGGTCAAACTCATGCTGGTAACCTCGAAAACACTATCCAACCATCTCGTCCTCTGTCGCCCCCTTCTCCTTGTGCCCTCCATCTTTCCCAGCATCAGTGTCTTTTCCAGGGAGTCTTCTCTTCTCATGAGGTGGCCAAAGTACTGGAGCCTCAGCTTCACGATCTGTCCTTCCAGTGAGCACTCAGGTCTGATTTCCTTAAGAATGGATGCATTTGATCTTCTTGCCGTCCATGGGACTCTCAAGAGTCTTCTCCAGCACCATAATTCAAAAGCATCAATTCTTCGGCGATCAGCCTTCTTTATAGTCCAGCTCTCACTTCCATACATCACTACTGGGAAGACCATGGCTTTAACTATACGGACCTTTGTTGGCAAGGTGACATCTCTACTTCTCAAGATGCTGTCTAGGCCTGTCATTGCCCTTCTCCCAAGAAGCAGGCGTCTTTTAATTTCGTGGCTGCTGTCACCATCTGCAGTGATCATGGAGCCCAAGAAAGTAAAATCTCTCACTGCCTCCATTTCTTCCCCTTCTATTTGCCAGGAGGTGATGGGACCAGTGGCCATGATCTTCGTTTTTTTGATGTTGAGCTTCAGACCATATTTTGCGCTCTCCTCTTTCACCCTCATTAAAAGGTTCTTTAATTCCTCCTCACTTTCTGCCATCAAGGTTGTGTCATCTGCATATCTGAGGTTGTTGATATTTCTTCCGGCAATCTTAATTCCAGCTTGGGATTCATCCAGCCCAGCCTTTCGCATGATGTATTCTGTATATAAATTAAATAAGCAGGGAGACAAAATACAGCCTTGTCGTACTCCTTTCCCAATTTTGAACCAATCAGTTGTTCCATATCCAGTTCTAACTGTAGCTTCTTGTCCCACATAGAGATTTCTCAGGAGACAGATGAGGTGATCAGGCACTCCCATTTCTTTAAGAAGTTGGAGCATTCTTTGGCACTGCCCTTCTTTGGGATTGGGATGTAGACTGATCTTCTCCAATCTTCTGGCCACTGCTGAGTTTTCCAAATTTGCTGGCATATTGAGTGTAGCACCTTAACAGCATCATCTTTTAAAATTTTAAATAGTTCAGCTGGAATACCATCACTTCCACTGGCCTTGTTATTTGCAGTGCTTTCTAAGGCCCATTTGACTTCACTTTCCAGGATGTCTGGCTCAAGGTCAGCAACCACACTACCTGGGGTGTACGAGGCATCCATTTCTTTCTGGTATAGTTCCTCTGTGTATTCTTGCCACCTCTTCTTGATGTCTTCTGCTTCTGTTAGGTCCTTTCCACTTTTGTCTTTTATTATGGTAATCTTTGTACGAAATGTTCCTTTCATATCTCCAATTTTCTTGAACAGATCTCTGGTTCTTCCCATTCTGTTGTTTTCCTCTATTTGTTTGCATTGCTCGTTTAAGAAGGCCTTCTTGTCTCTCCTTGCTGTTCTTTGGAAATCTGCATTCAATTTCCTGTATCTTTCACTATCTCCCTCACATTTTGCTTGCCTTCTCTCCTCCGCTATTTGTAAGGCCTCGTTGGACAGCCACTTTGCTTTCTTGCATTTCCTTTTCATTGGGATGGTTTTCGTTGCTGCCTCCTGTACAATGTTACGAGCCTCCATCCATAGTTCTTCAGGCACTCTGTCCACCAAATCTAAATCCTTAAACCTGTTCCTCACTTCCACTGTGTATTCATAAGGGATTTGACTTAGATTGTATCTTACTGGCCCTGTGGTTTTTCCTGCTTTCTTCAGTTTAAGCTTGAATTTTGCTATAAGAAGCTGATGATCTGAGCCACAGTCAGCTCCAGGTCTTGTTTTTGCTGACTGTATAGAGCTTCTCCATCTTTGGCTGCAGAGAATATAATCAATCTGATTTCGATGCTGCCCATCTGGTGATGTCCATGTGTAGAGTCGTCTCTTGTGTTGTTGGAAAAGCGTGTTTGTGATGACCAGCTTGTTCTCTTGACAGAACTCTATTAGCCTTTGCCCTGCTTCGTTTTGATCTCCAAGGCCAAATTTGCCAGTTGTTCCTTTTATCTCTTGCCTCCCTACTTTAGCATTCCAATCCCCTATAATGAGAAGAACATCCTTCTTTGGTGTCACTTCTATAAGGTGTTGTAAGTTTTCATAAAATTGGTCAATTTCAGTTTCTTCAGCACCAGTAGTTGGTGCATAAACTTGGATTACTGTGATGTTAAAAGGTCTGCCTTGGATTCGTATCGAGATCATTCTATCATTTTTGAGATTGCATCCCAGTACAGCTTTCGCCACTCTTTTGTTGACTATGAGGGCCACTCCATTTCTTTTACGGGTTTCTTGCCCACAGTAGTAGATGTGATGGTCATCCGAACTGAATTCGCCCATTCCCGTCCATTTTAGTTCACTGATGCCCAGGATGTCAATATTTATTCTTGCCATCTCATTTTTGACCACCTCCAACTTACCCAGGTTCATGGTTCTTACATTCCAGGTTCCTATGCAATATTTTTCTTTACAGCATTGGACTTTCCTTTCGCTTCCAGGCATATCCGCAACTGAGCGTCCTTTCGGCTTTGGCCCAGCCGCTTCATCAGCTCTGGATCTACTTGTACTTGCCCTCCGCTCTTCCCCAGTAGCATGTTGGACGCCTTCCGACCTGAGGGGCTCATCTTCCAGCGTCATAACTTTTATATGCCTGTTGTCTTTGTCCATGGAGTTTTCTTGGCAGGGATACTGGAGTGGCTTGCCGGTTCCTCCTCCAGGTGGATCACGTTTGGTCAAAACTCTCCACTATGACCTGTTCATCTTGTGTGCCCTGCTCGGCATAGTTCATAGCTTCTCTGAGTTCTTCAAGCCCCTTCGCCACGGCAAGGCAGTGATCCATGAAGGGGCACTTATGAGTTAGTGAAGTACTAAAA